GTGCTCCACGCCAAGTATGGCCTCCCCGCGGGGTGTACCTAAGTATGCTGATGTTGCGGTGCGTGCCTTCACAGCTTCAGAGTATGATCAGTTCTTGGAGCGGAATCCTGCGATTGATTTCATGCGCTACATTGGCGACACGGGAGTTTCGGGACCTGACCGTGATGTGGCACTAGGTGTTGCTGTTCATGCAGGCCAGTTTCTTTTGTTTTTTCCTCAGGGTTTCCAGTTCACTGGAGGCCACCCTCAATGACAAGGTGGCGATTGTGCCAAATGATTCTTAACTTGGCCAAGCTGTGGCGGAACAGATAGGACTGGATCGGCAGAAGGTGCGCCCTGCGGTCGCACACCTTGGGACGGACTATGCCGCTGCCCGCCTGCGTGCCCACGCCATCGCGGGCAGGAAGCGCTTCAATCGTACTCGTAACGCACGCCAGCGATTCGCTAAGTCTACCAGGCTCAGATCAATGCGGAAGGCTGGCGAGAGACTTGGGCGCATTTTCACGGCAGGGATCAAGTTGAGCTCCCAGTATGGAGTTGAAGTCAACGGAGTCGATGATCGTGAGCTGCGTTCGCTGCGCCGCCAAGCCCTGTCCTTTAGGTCGCCCACCACCAAAGGTGCTAGTTTCAGGGCTGAATTGGGCCTTCACGGAAAACCCATGACCCGTGAAGCCATGGCCCCCGCCCAACAGTGGGCAACGCTGGTCTGGCAGGCCCATATGCACCCTCAGGAGGCCCTGGTAGGCGCCCAAGAGCTTAGGTGGAGTGGGGCTCGCGTGTTTCACTACGGCCTAGTGGCCCCAGCTTCTTGGGCGCAGTCAAGAGGGCCTGTCGGCCGCGTCCTCCGATGCCTGGCCCGTGTGGGCTGGCAAGCCGTTTCAGCCACCTTGTGGAAGGACCATAACGGGGTGCAGATAGACCTAACCCACGCGTCGCCCAGTCTGCTCCTTGGGATGTTTAAGGTTTCTTTACAGGCTGGCCACGAATGGCCGTTCGGGGAGCAACTGGGGGTCGGAGGTCACCATGGGGCCAGCCCGAAGCCAGTCAGCCGTGCGCTCCGAACCAAGAAGTACACGCGTTACCATCAATATTTAGTTCGTTCGTGTCTGTGTGATTGCCTCTGGACGTGGTCGCACGCCCATGACAAAGGAAAAAAGGGTATGCAACGGATCGTGGAGGTCAGTGCCAGTTCGGTCAGCCAGACACGGTGTTTCATAGACTATACGAATGTCAGTTGCCACATATCCTCGAGGCTCGCGCCTCCTCCGACGTCTCGCAGTTTTTCGTTCAGTCTGGCCGTGAGTCTGGGCCCGATAGTCGGCTCTATGTGCGAGGTGCGGTTGTCATCGAGGATGAAGATGCACCGCCGATTTCTTCTCAGCCCGTTGCCCAAGTGCTCACAGGCGATGGGGTTTTGTTGCCTGACGCTGACATAAAAGAGATCGTCCAGTTTGCGGGGGCCCCACAGAGTCTCCACATTGCAGTTGACGGCAGCAGCGCTATGCCTACGCTCTCTGTTTCCAGCGAGCCTCGTACAGTGTGATCCTCTTTCAGCCTTCGCCTCCCCAAACATGTGCGATTGTCCGAGGGGTAATCCCAGCTGGCTTCCCGCAGGCCCCAGCGATGGCCGAGAATTATGCCCTAGCGGTGGCATGTCAGATCGTAGTTCGGCCAGTGTATATTCATGCTGACTGTAAGGCTGCCATCTCGCAGGCGTTGCTACCCCGTGCTGAGCAGCTCCGACCCAACATATTGTTTGCTGGTGTCTCCGCGTTCGCTAGGTCGTTGCCTGGATTTCAACACATCCAGGCGATCCAGCATGTGAAGGCCCATCGCAGTGCTGAAGTTATCGATGCATTGCCGCCTCATGAGCGCGTGATAGCGCGAAGTAATTGGGAGGCCGATATCAATGCCAAGCAGGCTTTGTTGTTGCATGCTCCCATAGGGCCCGAGGCAGCCACGAGACTTGACAGTGAAATAGATCAGTTCTCCAGTTTTGTTATGCTGGCTGCCGCCATCCTCCCCGCGTGTGGGAACCGCCGTCAGCGCCGTGACCGCCCGTTTGCGCGGCATCGTTCTGTTAGGGCTGGACCCTCTTGGCATGAGTGGCAGGATGGACCCTTAGGCTCCCAGTGTAAGCACTGTTTTTCGCTTGCCCCGCAGGTCCCTAGTGCCGAAGTGACGGGGTTTCCTGGGGCCCCTCCTTCCGTTCGTAGTGTCGTCCGCCTTCTCTGGGGCACCTCATTGTAGGTGTGGCTTCCCTTGAGATCCACCCCAGGAGCCCCTCCAGGCCAAGGGCCTGCAGGCCCGCTTTGCAGTTTCTGTTCCTGAAGTGTGGGTGTTGGTCTCAGCGGTGTGCCCGTAAGCTCGCGGAAGAGTGCAAACGCCCTTCGCGCAAAGGATTTGAGGTCCTGTCGAAGTATGCCCAAGGGCTCGGGCCGAGCAACCGCGCGCGCCAGTTTATTGTTCGTGCTGCCCGTGCTCGCCTCCTTCCCCCCCC